GACTGCTGAGAGCGCTCTCTGTACTCTCTCACCGCCTCAGTGAGTGTGTTACACCCTCTGTGTTGCAAGAGACACTAGAGAGGGCAGCGGAGAGCTGAGCTGAGCCACCGGCCGTGAGAGCGCGCCCCACACCAGAGATCCAGAGTCCAGAGCGGACTAGTGCGCAGAGCCAGAGCGCAGAGGGCAGCGACGGGGAGAGCGAGACCCAGGGTCTCAGGCGTCAGACAGGCCCCGCGCACCCCCCCCCCCCACACGAGCATCTCTTTCAAGAGATTGGTTTTATTTTTTCAAGGAGCACTTGAGGTGCGAAAGGCGGCATTGCAACCACCATCGGTCTCCTGGGGAGTCGACGGGCCCCCGGGGGCGACGGGGGTGCTCTCCGGCCGCTGCCGCTGAACAGCACCTTGCCCTGCAGGCCGATCTTGACGGAGGTGGGAATCTCGAACGACTCGCGCAGGTACGGCTCGAGGCGGCCCCAATCCTCGGCCGTGACGATGGAGTTCACTCGCAGCTCCGGGGGGCAGCTTGCGAGCAGCGTCACGTCGAAGGTGTCCTCATCGATCGGGTCGTCCTGCTTGATCAGGAAGCGCCACTGGAGCAGGCCCGCCTTGGCGGTGGCCGCCGTCTGCACGCGGGCCGCCTTCTTTGCGGCCTTCCTCTGCTCCCGCTTGAGCTCGCGCTCCTCGCGATCATCGCGTTCGCGCTGCATGCGCTCCTCGCGCTCCGCCGAATCCTCCGAGGACGACGAGGAGGAGGAGGAAAGGCTGCGGTCGCGGCCGCGGTCGCGGTCGCGGCTGCGGCTGCGGCTGCGGCTGCGACCCATATAGAGCTGGCGGGAAGGAGCGTCTATGCGCGCGCAGCGCGAAGAAGAAAAGAAAAACGGCTCGAATAGGCGAGATCGCCGCGAGATCGCACGAGATAGAACGAGATAGCTGGATTGATCTGGATCGCCCCAGATAGCACGTCAATCTGATGAAAAGAACCGGCCAGACCAGGGCTTGATGCGTCGCGTTTTGCAGAGTGACGGGACGGGCACAGAGGAGAGGACGGATCCACAAACGAAGCCCGAAGCAGCGCCTACTGAGAGGAAATGCTCGAGTATCCCCAGCCAGAGCGAGGACCCTCATGTTCAGTGAACGTGAGGGCAGAGCGAGAGCGAGAGAGGAGGGGAGGGGGAGAGAGGGAGAGAGTTGCGGAGCACTTGGAGCACTTGGAGTGCAGTGTGTACCTCACATGCACACCTCACATGCACTTGGAGCGTATCAAATGAACTCGGGGGCGCAGGACGCGGCACAAACGGGGTACACCAAAAGGCACGGGCTGCCTGCACGGCGTTCACTCGAACGCCATGCACATGGCGCGGAGCAGCATCGGGTTGGTGTCGAACCCGAGCGGGTCCTCCTCCCAGTCCCGGTGCCCACCCTCCGCGTCATCCTGCTCATCGTGCGCGTCGAGCACCCTGCCGAGGCACAGGACCGTCCCCTTGGGAACGCCTGCCCCTCGCGCGCGCGGGAACTCTCCCTGCACCGCCATCACGAACTTCTCGCGCGCCCACTTGCCGCCACGGCGGCAGTGCTGGGGCGCGCGCTCGCGCAGCTCCTCGTAGAGCTCCTCGGCCCTCGCCACCTCCATGCACTTGGAGCACTTGGAGTGCCATTAATA